CATTAGTGTGCTTTTAAATGAATCTCTGCATCAGAATCCCCATTCTTGCAATTGACTTAGCTTGGTAGATTTTCTCAGTGTAAGGTATTTGTGCTTAATTTTTCCGATGCTTTTGTAGGTGAAACTTTTTTTTTAATATGATCATAGAAATTTAGACTTTCACACTACTGCAGCCAGTTTTCTCATCTTGAATTTTGAACGTATCCATGAATGTCCCTTGCCAGGCAATCACCTGGAACATCAGTTCATGCTGTTGTCACTTGCTGCCTTCGTAGAAGGAGCAACTGGCTTGCACACCTGTCCTAACTTGAAATTTAACCTTGAAAGGCTGCTGATGTGTATTACTTCTTAGTGTGTAACTTCCTAGGTAAATTTTAAAAGTGGTGCATGGGATGTAACATGCCCAAGTAATATGTAAGAACCTTTTCATTTACTAGTCAAATCGGCTTTGGCTCAGATCTTATCAAACTATAGAGGATTGTGAAGAGAAAAATGGGGTCGGATAGATTTTTGTTGAGGCTTTTTTAGTTTTTATCAGAAATTTTGGAAATATTTGTTGAGCCATTTTTTTTCATAGACTTTAGGATACAGACTGTTTAAAGTTTTGGATGAATGCGCATGTATTCACACTTTAGCTTGGTTAGTTTAATTTATTGTGTTGCTTTTTATCAGTTTCTGTATGCTTATCTTGAACTGCTGCTTGATAATACCAGGTTAAGTCTAAGTAGACTTTTTAATCTTTTTTCTCCCTCATTTTTCAAGGACATGGGAAAATTTTGTTTAACATATGAAGCCTCTATGACCCGCCTGTTCAGAGAAGGAAGGACAGAAACAGTGCGCTCGTGTACTATTGAATCATGCAATTTTGTTCAAGCCATGGAAGACCCAACCCAAAGTGTAAGTTCATTGCAGCAGTTCATGATAAATTCTCATCAATTTTGTGAACATATATAGATATCTGGTAATAAAACTCAGACTTCCTGTGATAGTACATTAGATGCATTTACTACATTGCTTACCAACCCAGAAATAGTATTAGCCATATGAATAAATCCCATAATAGGTTTTAAATGCTTAGGAACTAGTATATCTTTAATATTTTTCTTGAATGAAGAATAAATATAAAAGTTCAGATCTATGCTGCAAAGTTTTGTATGCCTAGATATGTTAGCTAGAGGTTGGGGAAAAAAAAACAGACCCTCTATCTGACATAGCTATGCTAGTAAAACCTCCAGCAACTGTGCTGATAGAGTGCTCCTGACAGCATAGCTAAGTTTTGCAGATGTGGTATTACTATGCCAACGGGAAAAACTCCTTCTATTGTCATATGCATTAAGGGACTCTGCCTGTATAGCTGCAGCAGCAAAGCATTTTTAGTGCAGGCAAGGCTTAAATGCAAGGGTAGTGATTATAATCTGTACTTCCCCATCATTGCAGAAGGATTTCAGAATTGTTAATATCAAATGAGAACTTCAGTAACTAAAAAACAGAAAGTAATCCTTTTCTTTGCAACTCATATTCACAAATATAAATCTCTTGCCATTTTTAAGAAAAAAAAGTTTCTCCTTCAAAGAAGAAAAAGTAAAGCAAATGAATGCTATTGCAAGGTAATTTTCTGCAAAGTACTGTGCCAGCTATGCTTATGTTTTATTTTAAGGAATAAATATTTGATAGTGGTTGTAATAGTGTGAATGCTGACAAGGGAACACAAACATTTCTGTTTGGCATCCTGCAATAATACCAATAAAACTGTGATATATTACCAATAAAATCTATCTAGCTAAAATACATTTAGAAGAAACTATTAAACTGTGGTGTGGCTCTTCCCCTGGTTTTTATCATGAACTAGCTGGAGTTACCCAGCGTTGCTCGGTCCCGCTCCCCGCCAGCCGATTCGCTCCTCCTCCCCACTCCGCCAGCCCTACTTCCTGCTGGCTGGTTCTCTTCCTCCTGATCTCCCTTGGCCAGCCCCGCTGCCCCCTCCCCCAACCAGTCCTGCTTCCAGGCCCCTGCCTTTCTCCCGGCCAGCCTTGCTCCTCTCTTGGCCAGTTCCTCCCCTTCCCGTCTTTCCCCTCCCACCGCTCCCGCAATCAAGTGTGGTGTGTCCGGGGTTTTTTTAGACTACCTGGTAACCGTAGCCATGGGAGGCAAGCCGGATGCCCGAGCTGTTGTGCACATGGGGGCGGGGTGAGTCCCAGATGGCACTTTGGGGCCGCAGGCAGTGGGCACATGACCTAGGGTGGGTGGGGCTGTCCCTGCAGCGCAGTGCAGCAGGTTATTTTTTATTTTTACAGGTTGAGATCAGCCCGATTGGATCTAAAAGTATCTTAAAACTTTCTCCTGGAGGAAAGGTTATCCCATGGAAAGTTTGGTTGTGGTTGGTCTTATAGTGTCCAAGTTATTAGAGCACAAACATTCTCCTTTATATATTAGATTATGCAGCTTCTATTCATCTCCACTCTAAGATCATAATAAATAGCGGTTATGAATAGTGACTGCTTCTGGTTATTTTAAAGAAAGTTTTTGTAGAACTTTCTTTTCTTGAAAGGTTTGAATGTGTTAACATTTTGTGGTTTAATTTTACTTGTCCAGAATGTATCGGTTAAAATCAGAAGTGACATTCATCCTTTTTCCTGTAGTGGTCATAAACAGTTCTGTTACAGAATATGGAGCTGGATTTTGGTCTTTCTATTTACTTGAACGTAGTTTGCCATAAAGTTATTAGTCACCATTTCTAAACGACCATAGTACAAGAAAATAAAACCATAAAGAGCCCTGCGTGTTTAAGATGCTGGAGAAATATAAACTATTTAGTCTAAAAGATTCTTTCCTTACACCTCAGCATTTTTACTAGTTTATTGCAATTATTTGCAAAGTCACAAATGTAGTTATAACCTCACCATGGTACTAAGCAAGAGAACTCGGCTTTGGGTAAAAGCTTGTAGAAGGAAGGTTGTATGTGGGTTTTTTTTATATCTATATCCAGATGTTTAATAAATAAATGTCATGGGAAAATCTAAACAGATGAAAGGTAAATTCAATACATTCTAAGTAAGTACAAGTTTTCTTGACTGTGAATGCTTCTTTAAGTGAAGCAGATAGTTCTGCTACTGCACAGTTGGTAGGGTAAAGTCCTGTTTTACAGCTGTGTAGTGCAGGTCAATGTTTTGTGAACATACTGTATTAAGAGAACAGAAAACATGTTCATTTTACGCAATAATTGCCCACATTCTGCTCCAACAATGTGAAAGGTCGAAGTGAGGACGCTTTATGTACAGGCGCTGAATTACATCAGTTGAAATTGTCACTCTTTGGGTTTACAACTACAAGTAGGCATATTACTGAAGACACCTTTGAGACATCACCAAGTGAATCCAGTTCACATGGTGTTAAATACCATCTTTGCAACTTCATCATATGTAGATTTAAACAAAAATTCACAGGTGAAATGTTTATCTTGCCCTATGATTTCTTACTTTGTGCTCTCAGACTGATTGTGTAAAGTATTATATGTCACGTTTCACGAAATGGCTGTTGGCTTGGAGCGTGGAAAAAACTTGCCTGATTTTCAGATTTGCTCATCATCCATAGCTCCCACTGACTTCAGTTGGAGTGTTAGCAATACTGAAAATTAAGCCTAGAACTCAAACCTAATTTGTTACAATTGTGTTTGATTATGCAGTGTGAAAAATGCTTTTCCCCTTATGAACTTACTGAATGCCATGCTAAAAATCACTGGAAAATGGGTGTGCAACATATGTAATAATATTGCTAGAGGTGCTCAGTTTTGAAAATCTGGGTTTGGGCTTATTTCAGAAAGTGCTGTGATAATGTCCTGTCTATTTGGCCAAATATTTTAAAAGTAAAAGTTATGGCTAAGGTTTTTTAAATTACAGTAGATTAGATGATTCAATCATCTCAATCACTTATGATTTCTCCAAGTCCTGAATGACCTTTTCTGAAGGCAGTGTTTCAGCCTCTGACAGAATGCTGTTTCTAGTAGAATACTTTTTTCCTTTCTGTATTTCTGTCTCTTGTTTTTTTCCTCCCCTGTTTGTCCTGATCTCTGTGACTTCTTTTCTTTGTATTCTTTCTCCTTCAGTACCGTGTGATACTTTCCAGCTACACTTACTCTTCTGTCCGTCTCTTTGCCTCTCTTCCCCCAGTTCCCCAGTGGCAGCTTCTGTTGGATGTTGTTACTATTTCAAGAACTACTACCAGCATCTCATGCCTAACAGAAATAGACTAACACTCTTAGGATACGTCTACACTAGCCCTCTCGATCGATCTAGGGAGGCTAATGAGGGCTACCGGAATTGCCATCAAACCTCCAGGATTTAAATATCCCTCGCTTGATTTGCATGTTCCTGGCCAGTCGCCATTTTAGAAATTGACTAGCCCAAAGTAACTGCCCGCATCTACACGTGGCAGTGAAACGGGCTTCCGATTTAAAGCCCCTAATTCGAATTAGATGGTAAACTTCATTGCAGGAGGAATACCACCTAATTCGATTTAGGGCTTTAAATCGGAATCCTGTTTCACTGTCGCCTGTAGACGTGGGCAGTTACTTCGGGCTAGTCAATTTCTAAAATGGCGACCAGCCGGGAACATGCAAATCAAGCATGGGATATTTAAATCCGGGCTTGATTTGCAATTCCGGTCGCCCTCATTAGCCTCCCTAGATCGATCTAGGGGGCTAGTGTAGACGTACCCTTAGAGAGATAGAAGCTCAAGAGTGGTAGGCATGTTAGTCTGTAACTTTAAAAACAAAACAAGTAGCCCTGTGGCACCTAACAGACTAACAAATATATATAGATGATAATATGAGCTTATGTGGGCAAAACCCACTTCTTCAGATGAGCTTGAGTGGAACCACATATGTGAAGAGATGGTATACCATGCTCTGATGGGAAAGGGTTAGGGAAGACGTGACGAATTCTCATACGCCTAGTAAGCTATTTCACAGTATGAAATTGCCAAGCACATTCTGTCCTAGATTATTTAGAAAATGAGTGTTTTATTTAGTAACTAAAATATTCTATTGCCATTGACTACACTCTCAGTCAGTCTCCTAAGTAGTACAGGTTGAATCTGTCTTAACCAGGACTCTAGTCCTGCAACATCCCTGACCCAGAAGGGTCCTTCTGGGCCAGGGATGTTGCAGGACCAGAGAGTCCCACACAGGAAGGGGGCCCAGCAGCAGGGCTGCCTCCTGGGGGTGACACTTGGTGGGGGGTGGGAGGCAGTGGGGCTGCCCGGCAGGGCTGGAGCCCAGCAGCAAAATTACCCGGCGAGACCAGGAGGCAGTGGGGTTGCCTGGAGGTGGGGCTGAGAACATGGCAGCAGGGCTGCCCGATAGCGCAACTAGCAGCCCTGCTGCCTCCTAGTGGTGCAGCAGTGCAGTGGGATTAAGAGGCAGTGGGGCTGCTCTGCAGGGCTGGGAGCCCGACCGTGGGGCTGCCTGGTGGCAGGGCCAGGAACCTTGGAGTGAGGTGCCCAGCGGTGCAGCAAAGAGCCTGGCAGCCCTGCTGCTGCCCAGCAGAGCTGCCTGGTGAGGCTGGGAAGCAGCAGGGCTGCCATCTGGTGGCACAACTGCACCCCAGCAACAGGGCTGCTACACTGGGCCAGGAGTCCTGTGCTGAGGGGCCAGCAATAGAGAGAAGTGTGGGGGGAGGTTGGCAGTGAGGCCATGGCTAGGGGACCAAGGAAGAGCAGAAATTATCTTCCCTGGTCTGGTTAAATCCCTCATCTGGCCGGGACCCATCAGGTCCCGAGGGTGCCAAACTGGGGAGGTCCAACGTGTAGTAAAGTTCCCAGCTCTTTAATCAGTTTGATCAGACTTGCTTTGCGTAGCTGTCTAAACAGAGTAATAAAAATACAGAGTAAGAATAGATTTTTTTTATTTATAATCCACAGGAAGCTTGATTTGATAAGATGCAAAATAGAAGCAAACTTCATAGAACTAGTCTTGTAATCATATCTCTCCTGCTGTACCTGATTCAGTGAGTTCTCTTAGTTCTAGAATTAAATTTCCCTTCACTATGGTTTTCTACCAGAAACTATAGACACACATGTTAATTCCTGAATTTGAAATATGTTAAAACTAGAAAATTTGAATTAAAAAAAAATTAATCCCACGTCACTTAAAACTTCATTCGTTGCTGTTGGTAGTTGTTCCTGAGAGCTGGTTTTCGTTGCGTACTTTGTCTTGTACTTGACCCTTAGTGCTACAGGCTGAGACCAATCACTACAATTTTGATTTCCCAATTTAAACATCTTCCATCTTTTTCCCTTTATGTTTTTTAAATTATTCTTTAGAATGAAAAGAGGTGTAAACTATTCAGGATTGCTGCTGCTAAACACCAGCACATGTATCGCCTTGCCATGACTGGTTCAGGCATTGACCGTCACCTGTTCTGCCTTTATGTGGTGTCCAAATACCTTGGTGTTGAGTCTCCTTTCCTCAAAAAAGTAAGTAAAATTTCTTGGTTGCTATCCACAAGGGCAGCTTCATCAAGTAAACAAAAGATTAGCTATCAGTAGTTAGCTTTTTCTGATATGAACTTTCTATAATTTAGGTTAAAATGTGTAATTCCAAGGTAAATGTGACATTGATTTGGTTATGCTGACATTTTGAAATCTCTTAATGAATGCTAATCTAGCCCTGGTCTACGCTACAAAATTACTTTGGTATAATTCTGTAGCTCAGGAGTGTGAATAATCCATACTCCTGAGTGTAGTAATACCAATCTAAGTACTGGTGTAGAGTCAGACAGTGCTATGTAAGTGGAAAAGCTTCACCTGCCGACATAGCTATCGCCTCTTGCAGAGGCGAAGTTAGGTGTTAATCAGAAGTGCTGCACTGGCGTTGACAATTTTTCAAAGAGATGTAAAAGGTATTGTAAAGAAATGAATCAGTGGAGTTAGACTTTTATTTTTTTTCTAGATCACATTACTTATATATAAGGTATCAGGTGAAGTCACCATAAAATATCACCCTGCAGTTAATGTTCACTTAAGAAACTGAATGTGTGGCGCTACATACCCGTTAGGGATTATCACACTAACTGAAGGTGAAAATTGTAGTAATTCAGGACAGCAATACAGTAAATTCAGGATTCGCTGATGTGGCATCCTGACAGATTTCCTGCTCCATCAGTGATGATAAACATTTGACTGCAGGTATTTTGTATGTTCCCTCAGTATATTGTGCCAGCTCTGCACAGGTAGCTAGCATAATAGACTTCATGAGAGCCTACAAAGACCACAGACTGAGATAAGGTACAAAGGCACCGAGTCAGGTTTACTGTTGAACAAAGTACATTAATAGTTGTCAGTAGCCAGATGGCCTCTGACCCCCTATGTATTTGTACCTGGGACAATAGACAAGGCTTAATCAATAGTATGGATTTCACTATTGTCCCCTATGTTGGTCAAAGAATTACGTTGAGGTACTCCAATAGTTATGGAGACAAATGAACAATCTGACACACACCTTACGTATCATCTTCTGCATTAATGATACATTTGCTACCTCCCCTTGTATTTTCCTCCAAAGCATTCACTACCTGTTGTTATGCTTTCACTCGAGTTGTTTCAAACTACTTTATTATGTACTCAGCTGGGTTTCAAACTACTTTATTATGTACTCAGTATTATGTACTGTACTGATGGAATGTATTTACACACTTCATGTGCTTTTATCATTTCTGGTGCCAAGGGACACTGCCTTGCAGGCAAACATCTGCTTTTGACACAGCCTGTCAGTTACTCATAGCATAACTCTTGCTTACTTTGGTTCAAGGACCAGGCCCAAGCTTCAGGCTCTTTCTTTCTCCTACAAATGTATTATCTTGAGTAATGAAATTAAAGAACCTTATATAGTTTGGGTTCTTCGAGTGCTGTCCCTGTAGTTGCTCCACTATATGTGATGGAGCATCCCAACACTGTTGATAGGAGATCTTTGTTAGTAGTGCCTGGTCGGGACATGCATGTCTAGTTGATTTCTTATGGCACCTGCAAGTCTATTTGGAGTATGCTTGTCCTGACCCCCTCAGTTCCTTCTCAGCTGTCCTTGGTTGAAGACAGAACTCAAGAGCACTGTGTCACCTCCTTCTGTAGTTAGAGATAAAAAAAAATACACAGATTAGTTAGAAAACCTCATCCAACTTCTCCCCTTCTTGTAGGAAGTTAGTATAGTTGTTTTTGCCCCCCTCCCTCCATCCTATCATTCTCCCCTTTGGAGAGTGACTTCTTGGGCTGACTGTCCAGCCTCCCCTGGATTCAAAAAGTACACTTCCTGCAGGGAACTCCCTCTGTATCAAATGCCTGGGCAAGACACACATCCCATCCAAATGGGTCCACTGCAAGAATTGAGACCTCTGCCTGAAAATTATTTTAATGGAGAAGTTTCTCCAACTGGCGTCAGAAATGAGGGAGCCTAAACCCTCAAGCAAATGCTCTCCCTCACACTCTGAACCAGCCAGGAGCATGGTTCAGTCCTTTCAGGAGAAGAGGAAGAGAGCCTCCTCTCTCTCCTGAGGGAGCTGCATACCAAGAATCAGTCTCTGGTTGCCCCAGTGCCAGAATCCCCTCTCTTCAGCACTGATAGCTCCATGCTAACCCAGCCATCTTCTCCCATGCAGTGATTGCTTTTCTCTGACAGGGATGAGGGCAGCAGGGAGGAGGCTGTATTCTCCCCTCACATCTCTTCCCCGCCACAACCTAAATGACCACAGTGGCCAATTTACCCACAAGCAGCTGACTCAATTGCCCTGGTTTGTTCTGCTATGGATGCCAATGCAGATGCCATATGCAGTGCATTGGCCATCGTGGGATACATGGGGCTGTTACAATCATCTCAAAGTGCACAGATCTGCTCACCACCAACTTCCTGTTTAGCCTCAGAGGGGCTGTGTTAGTCTGTAACATTAAAAAAAAATTAAAAATTAGTGGTCCTGTAGCACCTCAGAGACTAACAAAAAATATATATAGTGTCATGAAAGCACATGAAAGTTCATGATACTATATATATACTTTGTTAGTCTCTAAGGTGCTACAGGACCACTTGTTTAAGTTCCTCTATAGCTTTCAGTTCTAGGGGACTGGAAGAGTCTCGAAGGACATAGAAGATGACCCAATGCAGGACACTGAGTCGCCCAAACACAACTCCTCATACTCCCCTGATGAAGCTGTCATGCCACCTCCACCAAAGATGGCAGATGACTTCAAACAATTCCAAGAACTTTTTAAACAAGTGGCTCTTAGCTAGGAGGAGGTATAGGAGAACCAGCACAAACGCCTCAAGATCCTCCAACCATTGGCATCCTCCAAAACTGCTATGCCTATAAATGCCTATAAATATTAGATCCAGCCAACATCATCTGGCAGATGCCTGCCTTGGTGGTTCTGATGTGTAAGAGAGAGGACAGGAAATACTATGTCCTGGCCAAAGGCATGGATTTCCTATTTCCCCACTCTTAACCCAACTCCTTAGTAGTTGAGGTTGCAAATCACAGACCCAAACAGAACTGCATAAGAAATTGACACTGCAGGATAAGGACTCCAATGTCTATCTCCTAGGCCAAAAGATTTATGAATCTTCCACGTTGTAATTTTGTGTCGTTGATTATACTGCTCTTCTTGTCTGGGTCACAAAGAATGAGTGTAATGATCCACTTGAGGAGGAAAATAACTTTTTGCTGTTTTCCGTATTCTGTCTTTAAATTGATGTGCTATCACTAGAGATTACATAGGACTCTTATTTGATGTAAGGATCACAGTTTCTTAATACTTTTGCAGATCAAGGGACTGATCCAAAGCTTGTTGAAGTCAGTGGGAATCTTTCCACTGACCTTAGTGGACTTTGGATCAGATTCCTGGTGATCACTCATTTTATTTCAGCAAGCCTTTTCCAAACATACTCCTAATGGGAACATAGCTATTTTCTGTATGAGATCAATCTCAGGACCTTGTGTGCATCTTTGTCTCCTTTTTTATGTCACTTGTCCTGAAATATAAATAATTAATTTTAATTTGTTCATTCCATTGTGAATATGAATTGGAGTTCATATTTAGTAGTAGTGTTTTATTAGCAAAGTCTTGTAACTTAGTTTGATAATACCTGCTTAATTGCAACACATAAGCTGCCAATATGCATATTACTCTTGACTTTATATGCTCTAAAGGTTTTGTCAGAGCCTTGGAGGTTGTCAACAAGTCAAACACCACAGCAGCACATTGATCTGGAGAAGAACCCTGAGTTTGTGTCCAGTGGCGGAGGCTTTGGACCTGTAAGTTTGAGGGTTTTTTAAGAAATATTTTGTAATGCATACTACATAAACGAGTTAGTTTGTATGCTCCTAACTTAACTTTAATTTCAGTGTGAAGATTGAAGACTGTAGGTAGGTATGTAAGTGACTGGTCGACTATATGATAAGCATAAACAGCTTAAAAGCCGGTTCCCCCCAGCACCATCTCCATGGGGGTAGGAAAGGCAGGGGGTAGCAGGATGCTGTGCCTCTGCTTTTTAGATGTATTAAGAGCCAGTTGGCTCTTAATACATTTAAAGGAAAAGCTGCAGCGGGTTTAGCTCCGGGGGCTCCCTTGCTTATCGACTAGTCCATGGAAATTCTATCAACTAGTCTATTAGTTGATTAAGCTAAATTTAACATCCCTAGCTGTGGGGTTCTGAAAGCATATGTGTTAATGTTTTTCCTTTTGTGTATGTATGTGCTCAAGGAAATCTGTCTTAGCTTTGTTCTTTCCTTTCAGCTAGGCAAATAAAGTGGGTCTTGCAGAGGAATCCAGGTGTTGTAGGCAGACATACATATCATGAGATTTGGTGAATGGGGGCTTTCATTCCCTCTTATTTGTGTTCATTGACACATTTCCATTTTTTGCTGGAACACTGGAAATAAAGTAGCTGCAGATTGAGGTTCATGTGTTCTGTAGTTATCTATTTTTGTTAGATTCCCTCCAGTCAAAGGTGGAGATTGTAGTACATACGTTGTATGATACTGTATTCCCTGAGGAGCTAATGAGCCTGAAAATAGCTTTAAATCACATTCTTGGTATGATTTTATCTGATCTCCAGTACAGTAAGATTTTTTTTAATTGCAGTGCCAGGGGTAATCTAGTTAGGAGGATTCTGACTAGAAAACAATTTTTTTCCAGATAAGTCTTGCCTACCCAGCAATACTCAGTGAAACTTGCACCTCACAATGTTTGAATCTCTAAAAATCCTTCGAGTGCTTGCTCATATCTATTCCAGTTTAGTGTACGCACACCACATGAATGGATGCCAGAAAGTTTTATCCTAGCTGTTACCTGTTGGATCAGGTGTGGAGCCCCCTGCAGTGGCACAGGTGCAGTGCACTATATATATATGACTCTGCCTACTCAACCAAACCTCAGTTCCTTCCTACTGCCAGTGGTGGCTATAGGAATTGTGGCTCTCTTGCTTTGCAAGCACCACGTGTCCCTACCGCTTATAGTTGTTTGTTTTGTAATAGTTCTACTTAGTAGTTGTTTGTTAGCAGTGGTAGGTGAAGGGGTTTTCCCCCTTCCCACCTGTGTTCCTTTTGGAGAAAGTCCTAGGGCTTCAAACCCTGTGGGTCCTGCCTCAAGTCTATGCCAACAAGTGACCCCAATGACTCATGTTTCTGGTGCCTGGGGGAAGCCCATCAGGCTGACAAGTGCAAGACCTGCAAGGCCTTCAAACTACATATCAGAAAGGAGTGGAACTTTCACATGAAGCAACTCCTTACAGAATCCACTTTTCGGCCTCAGATGCAGGATCCAACACAAAGCAATTTGGGATGTTAGCAAGTATTCGACTGGAGTATTGACTACTTGCTCCCTCCGCCCTTGCTGTCTCTGAGAGACAGCAAGGGGGGAAGGAAACAGGAGCTGGTGCTGGGGGAGAATCGGCCAGCCATTTCCCCCCAGCACCATCTCCATAGTGACACCTGCGCTGTCTACCTCCCCCTCTATCAGAGGCTGTGGGGGGTGGGATAGAGAGGCTGCTACTGGGCTCCCCCGTGGACAAGGGCTGCTGCTGGCAAGCAGCCCCTGTTCGTGGCAGGCAGGGTTGGCTGCAGGCAGAGGCTGCTCTGGATGAGGACTGGTGTTGGAGCAGCCCCTATTCACAGTGGACAGTCCTGGCCACCGCGAACAGGGCTGCTGGACTCACCATGAGCTGGGACCGAGCAGTCCCAGCTCTCCCTGGTCCGGGACTCTGCATTTTAAATGTAGTAAGAGCCCAATGGCTCTGCATAGCAGCTCTGCACAGTGGTCTGTAAAGGTAGATAGTTAACTGCAATTTAACATCCCTACAGTGCACCTCCTTCAGTCTCAGAACCAGCAGGAAGAAGGGACTCTCTTGGCACCAACGCTTTCTGAAGGCCTCTCCCTGGGGCCACTCTCACTTCCCAGTGTGGTCTTCTAAGATGGCCAAGCTCTTGGTGTCAGTGGCTTCTCCTGCTTCCTCCACACCTTCCATGTCAGCAGGCCCAGATGGACTATGTTCCAGAGGCACTAACGTACGGAGCTCCTCTCATGCACGGAGCCCTATCCTCTTGGACTCTGAAGGGTGAGCTATTAGTGATTGGTCCATCCTCCACTCTGGACACCTTTGAGGCTACATGGGGCTTCATCGAAATGACTCTGTCCTAGGACAGGGCCTCTGATTCCTGCTAATCTTCCCAGTGGAAGCTGTCCATGATGGGCCCACCAGTTCCAGTCCCAGCATCTCCCCACTTGAAGTCCTGGCGCAGTCACATGGAACACCGCCAATCTGACTTGCAGAATCGGTCGCACTCATGGCACCGTTCTTGCAGCCAGTCGCCTCTGAGCTGCTCTCACTTGAGAGCATCAGCAGCGAGCAGATCTTGTTCATGTTTGGGGTCAATGCAGCACTCTGACAGTCCTGATCAGCACCAATGATCTTGGCACTGCTTGAATTCTGACTCAGCTGGGCACCATTGGCACTGCAGTTCTTGCTCCCCGTGATCTCAAAACCTTGCTCACCATGACACCGTCCCTCAGAGCAGCGCCACTCTTTGGAGCATGTACCTCTGTCTCTGCACCGCTCCTTGGAGCATGCATTCCCACTTCAGCATCAGCCCTTGACACGCAGTATTCTCAGCACTGGTGCTGATTGCTGGGTGCACCTCACATCACCCGGCACCATCTGTGAAGACTGGCTCAGCCCCACCATGGTCTTCTCATTTGGGCTCTCCCTTATCTTCCATATTCTGTGCCAGACCAGCCTATTGTGTGCTTCCCCCATTTCTGCTGGTCCTCAAGGTGTTCCTCAAGCTCTGCAGACAGGGGAAATGTTATCCTGATAACCCCGGCCTGGGCCCTTCAGCATTGGTACTCCACCTTCCTGAAACTGTTGGTACAACTGTCCATTCCACTCCTACTCTCAGACCTCATTACACAAGGCCATGGCTGCCTTTGCCAACCAGACCTATGCTTTCTCCATCTCGCAGCATGGTGGCTTCAAGGCTGAATCCCTCTGAGCAGGTCCATCAGGTGCTTCTCAGCAGTAGGAAGCCTTCTACTAGGCTCACGTAAATGCCTAAATGGAAGCACTTCTCATGTTGGTGTCTCCAGCATGCACTGGTGCTCTTGTTGGCCTCTATCTATCAGGTGCTGGAGTACCCAGTATCCCTGAAGCACCAGACCCAGCAATTTCACCTGGCAGATGTTTTGGCTTTCCACCCAGGAGAGGCTGGTTGCTCTGTTTTCACGAGCCCTCTGGTTGGGCATTTCCTCAAGGGCATGGATAGGCTCCACCCACTGATCTAGTGCCCAGTCCCTGCTTGGGAGCTCAGCCTGGTCCTCTTGGTACTCATGGGTCCCCCTTCAAGCCTGGATATCTGTTTGCTGCTTTACCTCTCATGGAAGGTGGTTTTCCTGGTTTCCCTCACCTCTGCCAGACAGGTGTTGGAGCTCTGCGCCCTTACGTCAGAACCCCCATACGCTGTTTTCCACAAGGACATGGTCCAGCTTTGCCATCCTCCGGCTTTCTTCCCAAAAGTGGTCTCTAGCTTCCACTGCAGGGAGGACATTTTTCTTCCCGTTTTCTATCCTAAGCCTCACCTGAGCTCATGGGAACAAAGATTGCACTGCTTGATGTCAGGCAGTCTCTTGCCTTCTACATCAACAGGACTAAACCTTTTTGTCAGTTATTCATGGTGGTGGTGGACCAGAGGTAGGGGCTGCCATTCTTGTTAAAGCACATCCTCCTGGATTTCAATGTGCGCCTGTGCGTGTTATGACCTCGCTAAGGTTTCCCTGCCGCCTCTCCAGAACATTCTATGTGGGCACAAGCCTCTTCAGACCCTCTCCTGGCTCATGTTCCTCTTCAGGAAATCTGTAGAGTTGTGACATGGTCCTTATCTCCATGCTGCACTACGCCATGTGCAACAGTCAAGACGCGGTGTGTCCTGGGGTGCCATGGTGCTCAAGTCAGCTGCACATTGACTCCGACCACTACTCCTGGGTAAGGCTTGTGATTCACCTAAGTAGGAGAAGATATGAGCAAGCATTTGAAAAACAAAACAAATGGTACTAACCTTAGCAACTGTTCTTTGAAATGTGTTGCTCATATCTATTCTATACCCACTCTCCTTCTCAACTGTCAGAGTAGCTGGCAAGGAACTGGAGGGGCAATGGATTGGCAGTTGTGGAGCTCCAGAGAGCTCCACAACTGATTCAACAGATAGCAGCTAGGATCAAACTTTCTGGCAGCTGTGTACACACCTAAATTGGAATAGATGTGAGCAACACATCTCCAAGAACAGTTACAAAGATGAGTAACCATCTTTTTCTATGGAGTATTTTGACTTTAGAAATGTTTCATGAAGCATAACATCTAGATTCTATATAGCAGTAATTAGTATCTAAAAGAGGATACTTTTGCCAACAAAGAAATGTCTCAGCCATGTGGATTTCAGTCTGTTCTTATTTGTCCCTTCATTTTTGCTCTTATTATGTTCAGTCACGTCTCTCATCATATTCTCTCTAGTTTTTTCTTTATTGTTTCTTTTTATTAGCCCCTGAATTATTTCTTCATTTCCAAATGGACTCCCCTTCCCTCCACTTGTGTTAACTCTAGCATCTCTCAAAAAACTGAGAGGAACTCGTGTACGGTTCAGAGCATGACCCTGGAGTATGAAAGAAGAATATTAGGGTATCAGACTGCTCAGCAAGAATGGAAGATGTCACTACATGCAGGGAGGATGTGTCACATTTAATAAGTAGGAGGTGGACAGCCCTTCCTATAGGTATCATACAGTCTGTCCCAAAGGGCTGCATTTTGATAACGTGGATGGTCATGTGCTGATAACACTGAAAGCAGATAATTTAAACTGTTCTGTTTTCTAAATAGCAGTAATTCTTTGAACTGAAGCATGATTAAACATACATATAAATTTATTATTGCATTATAGCAAAGGTTATCAATGTGGGGTGTATTAAACTTTTTAAGGTGTTCCTGCAAGCCTTCTAACAGTAATTATAGTAAGGGGCCAAGTGCCAAGACACACCACCATTCTTGCAAATTTGGCCTGGCTGCCTGGTGTGACTCGCCATTCAGCAAGGGTGACAGGGAAAGTCCATTTTTAAAAAATGCCAGGATGAGGCATGGTTCAGAAGTAGTTGAGAATCCCTGCTTTAGTGAGATCTTGAAGTTATTTTAATACTTATTTTATGGAACAAGAATTGTGAGAGCCATATATGACTGTGATAAACTTATTGCTAAATACTTTTTCCACAGGTTGCTGATGATGGTTATGGTGTGTCTTACATTATTATAGGTGAACACCTCATCCATTTTCATGTGTCCAGCAAATTTTCTTGCCCTGAGACAGTAAGTGTGAAGTGAAGTTACAATTCTATTAATCTTTCCTGTATATTTGGAGATTAATTTGTGAAATGCCCTTTAACTCATATTTTTAAAACCTTTTGGTGCCAGAAACGTACAACCTCACATACAAAATATATTGACACCAAAGACTTCATTTCTCCCAGGTCATCTATATTTCCTAATATTTTGGTGTCATTTGAAATTTTTTGCTGATTTTCTTTTTTGTCATTTTTTCAAATATGAATCTATGAAAGTAATCCGTGATATGCCCAAAGGAGAAAATTTTTCAATAGAGACAGATCTAATTTCAAACTGAAATGCAGCAAAATTCTGTTTACAGAAAAGTAAGTGGATAATGGAGGAGGAGCCATGCTGGGCTAGTCCTCTTATATACTGCATTAAATTTTATTCATATTTTCCCTTCTCCTACTTCACTATGTATAGATGACAGCTTCAGTCCATAAATTTCAAAATTACACAACAGAGGAGGAAATAGTAAGAGTCACTTTGGCCACAGGGTAATAGGAGCAGTTCTTGCATTACAACTCTTCTTATATCTTTTTATTCTCTTAGGATTCTCACCGTTTTGGAAAAAACATCAAACAAGCAATGGTTGACACTCTGGCTTTATTTAACATTGCTTTAAACTCTACCAAGTGATTTCCTAATATCAGTGCCAGTCTCCTACCACTGGGGTGAGAACTCTTCTGATCAATGAATGAAAGAAGCAATGGTTGTAGGGGCATTTGAGTCACAATCATCCAGTGATTACCTGTGAATAAGGATTCACCACCTAGGCTGAGGTTCAAATATCCCATCACTCTGCAATAGCTCAGAAGAGTTTTCTTCCCATAAGGGATCACTTTTGACATTCTATGTGATTCTAGGGATGCTATAAGTCAACATCAAGTGAAAGATGTGTATTGTACCTACTGTAGGCCTGTCTCAATTTTGTGTACATTTGATAACTTTTTACTTAAAATCTGGGTCTACTTGTATTCCAAATGAGTGGACAAAATTTATTAAGACAACCTCAATCAGCAGAAATGTTTGAGTTTATATGTACGGATTGCAAAATGTCAATTAGTATATCATTGAGTGACAAAAGACTTGTTGGCATTCGTCTAAGTTGTCACTTTTTAAAGGTATTTCTTTGCATTGAAAATATTTCACAATCTGATGTAACCTAATGTAATGCACTAACTGAAAATATACTGTGCTTCTTGGAAATAAGTAAAAGCTATAGTGGGTGATAAAATAGTTGCATTACCCAAAAAGATGGCAAGTATCACCTATTTTCGTGTTTTGTAAGCATATAATTTGCTACATCTTAATTTTATTACCATATAAACAGACCTGCATGTTGTGTGAGCCAGTGCCTTAAACATGAAAGGCCTCAAACACAAAAAAAGCCTTACACTATGGGGTGCTTGTTTTTTGTGTTATAGAAATTTTCTGTGGTGAACAAGGAGAATGGGATTGTAAATTTAATTCTCAAGTTGTGATTTATTTAGGTGCAACACAGGGTAGAAAAGTGCATGTTCTTATACATTGCAATTTTGCTAAGGGCCCCTATGTGAAATGCCCCTTGAAAGCCCAGTCCCCTGGTAAAAAAATTGTTTTTCTACTGCCATGATTAAAGGAGCATCCACATTTCCAAACATCTTTAAAGGGAAAGGATTAAGACAAACAAATGATAATGCCAGAATGGCGAAATCTGGCATTCTCTGGTTACCTGGAAAGGCTATAGGTCAAGTCAGGGAGGACTCACACACAATTGATGAGGAAAGCCAATGGGGAGGGAAGGAAAGGTGCGGGGGTGGGAGGAGGGGACTGAACAATACCACTTAAAGGTATATAATGGAAGTGCTGAAAGCAAAGAAGAAACCCCTCCAGTTTGCTTGCTATGAAATTAAATGAAGTAGGTTTTTGTGATACCTTTTCCCTGGGATTCAAGATTGTGGTCCTTCTAGACAGTCTTCGTATCACACAGAGCCTACGCAGCATAAAATGTGGCAAGTATTTGTCAGAGCAACTGTATATAAAAGGATCATGTAACACATGCAGTGGTGCTTAATATCCAAATGATACTCCAGGGCTATAATAACATTAACAGTCCTGTGGAAAAAAATGTTTAATTTAGCTGTAGACTGAAAATAGGAATATTTTCTGTTGTTTTATTTTGTGTCTGCCACTTTTTTTTTCCCCTCTGGGTTTTGCATGAGTTTGATACCTAAATTTGGGAAGGTAGGCCCTGCTGAAGATCACAGATGCATAGTTATGCAAATATTGTAATGCAGGAACCCAACAGAAGTGGACCAGAGATATTTTTATTGGATCAGATAGTGTGCAGGCAAGGAGATTATCAAATAAGCCTTACTGCAACTGGCAGGCATGGCATCTAATCAGACTACTGCAGCAACTTCACAGTGAGTTGTCCTTTTGCAGCTGCAGAAATCATGCACTATTTATGACCACTGACCAATTTGTATTAAATTAACATTAAGACATTAGCTTGTAGAAGATTTTTTTTTTTTTTATTAAGAACATATTTAGGTTTTACTCTCAGGTTTTAAATGTTTCATATGTAATTTGTAGGTATTGCAGTTATCAATGCAATTTTACACTCCTTAAGAGAGTGTAAATATAATTGGCACAGGAAGACTTTGTTTTTATTGTACATGTTGAAAAGGGTGATAAGTTTCATGTATTTTTTATTTGGAGCCAAGACGTTCTAAACAGGTAAGGTTTGTCTTTCATTTATCTTAAAATGTCAACTTCATGTAAATAAAAATGTGCTCTTTTGGATGTAAATCTTAAAAATGCACAGTAGGTTATTAATAAAAAAAATCTAAATTCTCCCATACTCTGCATTATGTGCACTCAATAAAATTGCTCACAATGGTTTGCTTAAAAGTTGTATGCAAGTGACAATTTACCTCTAATTTTTTAAGAATGGTACACAGACTAAGCACTGTCAAGTGAAAATATTGCGTAAATATTTTGAAAAAATCTTTGCCTGTTACTAACATCTTCAATCACTGATGCCCATTCAAGCTTAGCATTACCTTCCTTAAATCACTGGTCAAGCAACAGAAATTGGTAGGAATAATAATATTAAATCAGTTATTACATGGCATTGAGGAATTGGCTGGACAATTCAATTGTGTATTTCCAGAATGTCTAATATTTAGCTTTTTGGTGTGATTTGGGAGACTTATTATTAGCTGTTAACATTTACCCTGGTTGGTAGCTTTCAGCCCTATTTTTAAAGGGTTTTTAATGGGAATATGGATAAGAGTGCCTGAATTTAGACCCACAAATTTGAAAATGTTCCTAATTTATTATTATTTGTACCATATTGATTTCTTATATAAGATTTACTAATTTGTTTATCATGCTCATTTACTCCACTTGTATGATCTTTTCATCAGTTATTTACATCTAACATCTATTTTGTTCTTTAATTATATTTGTTCTGCCTTCCTGAGTCTGAAAAATAAAACTTAAGGCTTTCACAATTTTCTTTCTGGAGTTTCCTTCCTTACCCTGGGCTGCCATGTCTCTGTTGGGGCTGATTGGTGGTTACCACCATGCTGGTATTTGAGCTGTGTGGGCATTTTTCTCAAAACTGGCAGATCTATTAAAACATCAGTTTTGTTGTGTGCAATCAAAGATTTACATAATTATTATACAATGGGCTCTGTTAAAAGTTTGGGTCCAGCTAAAGGTGCTGCAGTGTTCCATTCTGTATGTCAAAACTATTGAAACTACAGCAGCTGTATGTGACCACCAACACACATTGTGCATGTGAGGGAGGTGTGAGTCACATGAAAATGAGACCACCAATGTTACCTATCTTGTCTCTACTATATATTGTCCCTGTAGATAAAAGTGGCGCTCTGTGGTGAGGGGCGTTGCCTTTGTGATTGGAACTTGGAGATACAGTGCTTGATGGGGCTAGAGGAACTGTGTCTTGCATTTCAAAGGACAAAGGTGGTCACACTATGTGATCCCGTACATCTACACAGTGTGACAAGCCTATTCTGACAGAATTGCTTTAGGGATAAACTTAAACAGCACTGACGATCTCATGTAAGATTGTCAGTGCTTTTGCGGAAATACTATGCTGCTCCTGTTCAGGCAAAAGTCTTTTTCCGAAAATCTTTTGCGCAAAAGGGCCACTGTAGACAGCAGAGATTTGTTTTCTGCAAAAAAGCCCCGATCGTGAAAATGGCGATCGGGGCTTTTTTTTGCGGAAAAGCGTCCGTGGCCAATCTAGATGCGCCTTTCCGAAAATGCTTTTAACTGGAAACGTTTCCGTTAAAATCATTTCCAGAACAACATGCCGGTCTAGATGTAGCCTACAGGTTTTTTTAGTCTAATAACACTTGAAAGACTCTTTGTGGTTTAAGTTTATCCTGTGCAGACTAACTCTTGGATACTCCCTGTTGCTTCAGGGAGTTGTTCATTTCCATTTAAAACGGCGCCTGCACCGTGGCCCGCTGCTCGTAATACACCTGCGTTTTTAAAACAACGCACCGAACCCTGGATGCAGCACCGCCTGTTCGCGCCGCGTGCTTGCAAGTGCGGTACCTGGGCGACCGCAAAGATAAAAAGGCTGCAACGGGCCACCCCGCACGAGCTCAAAGACCGCGGCAAGGGCCCTGCGGGAAGCCGCCTCACGCGCTGGACCGAGGGGGGGGAAGCAACGCAAGTGGCTGGAGCCCCGCCTTGGCTCTCGACACGTGACCCACCGCGAGTTCTCGCCCCGCCCCACCTCGCGCGCGCCTCTCGCGCAGGCGCTATTGGTCTCAACGGTCCTGCGGGTCTCGGCCCCTTGACCCTGGCCCAGCGCGGAGCCGGGCGGGGGATGGCGGGAGAGAGACAGGAGCTCCCGGCGGGGCGAGGGAAAGGTGAAGGACGCAGCCTGATTGCGCCTGGGGTAGTGAGCGCGCCCTGCTGCCCCGCCCACGGGGCGGGACATGTTATCCAGCCCCGGGATAGGGGGCTGCACGTCCCCCCTCAGCGGCGGGAGGGGCTGGTCCCCGGGATCGGGGGGGGTCTCACTGCACATCCCCCCTCAGATGGGGGGTGGTTCCCGGGATAGGGGGTCCCACAGCACGTTATAGCTGCAGATACAGGGATGGTGATGATGCACCCATGAAGCACTGTCCTTAACGCAGCCCATAGTGTTTGCAGGGGAGACAGGGTCTCAACCCAGCCTTCCTCATGCCCTGCTGGAGATCAAACCCATGCATGCCCCTCATATAGGGTAGGGTCGAAATCCAGTGATTCACACAAAGAGTTGAGGCTTATGCTTCCAGTGGGGTTCCAATCTCCCCTTTTGCAAATGAGAACACAAGCAGTGTGTAGAAACCACAGTCTACCAATTCCTCCACATACCCCATCCTGGAGTCTGGACATTAGTTAATATCTTGCCCCAGATCCCTGCAGTGTCAGGATGCAATTCTATCAGGCTACTAGGCACAATAATATGAACAATAAACGTTTTTGTTTTGTTACTGCCCTTTTTCGTACTTGCCCTGTTCTCTTTCCTCTCTCTCCCTGAGGTTAGAAGATTGTGCCTATAACTCCCTACCACGCTCGCATCTCAAAATTAATCCACCATTCTACTCCCATTTCCCTTGGGGGTGGAAATGACAGTAAACTCTTCAGAGTATGTTTCTGTTATATATGTGTAGAGTCGCTAGCACAATATTGCCCTGGACTCTTGGTATTCCTGTAATACAAATAATAGTGATCTGGAGCCAAAGTGATTAACAGTTGCTATAGTAGAAATTAAAGTGCTGGATTTGGATTTTTAAAAAATAAACTAAAATTTCAGCTGCAAAATGTAGCTCTGGTTATGAATTTTGCCAACATGGGTTTGTTTGGAATTAGATTTTGGTTTGGGCTCATCTCTAATGGTGTATTTGTTATTTTGTCAAAATTATGCTATTTATTTTATAGATGAAAGACTTACTGAGAAGAATTTTGCTCTAGAAAAGTTAGAGATCCCCAAAGAGAAAAACAGATATGAACAAGAACAAACTGAGATTCTAACTGTGGCTATGGAAAATCAGACACTGTTTGGTGGAATTTCAAGTACAGAAGATGGATTTATCACTGAAATGTTTAATCAAAATAGTCCGTTTAGTTCTGAAAACCTCAACTTGGAAAACAATGAAGTTAATAAACCTGGGGAAGAAGGGTTTCACTCCAGTCAAGACCATGATTTATGTGCTATGGCTGTTGGAGACCCTTTGCTTGATCAATTCAAATACCCTCTTACTATTGAAAGTCAAAATACAATATTCAAGGCCAAAATACAGCCACTTGTTGAAGACAATCCTGATAATGAAATCCTTGAAAAATATCAGAAGCTACAAGACTTAAAGTCTTCAGAAGACGCTAAACATACATACTCATCTTATCCACTGCCACATTCATATAATGTCCATTTTCTATCTTCCCTAATGATGCAGCACAAAAATTCTAATATTTTATCATTAAGTACCTGCCCTCCAGAAGGAACAATCAATCAAAATGTCAGACTGATACCAGTAAGATTAATCAAAACAGAAATTTCTATTTACAATTTTTTCTTGAAATAAGTGTGTGAATGTGCATATTTCCCATATATATATATATATAGAGAGAGCGAGCATAAGATGTTTTCAAGTTATTACTGTATAAGTTGTATTAGCTATAATTTTTCTCTTTTATGCTTCTCTTCCATGTGGAACTCAGAACCTTCCTTCCATTTTTGCCAGTGTCCTGCTGCAGTCTTAGGTTCACCATGTCATTTTCATAGCTTTCACTTCTGCTTGTATTGTGCTTTTCCATATGATCCTTGGTCTTGTTGCTGCTTACCCTGTAGTTTCATTCCAGACCTATCTTGTATACTGTTTGGGTCTTTCCTCCATGTGTGTCCTAGCCATCTTCATGTGTTTATGTAATTTCCTGTCCTATTGGAGTGTTTCATTCTCTTCTAGAGTTCTTCCATAGTGATTTTTTTCTGGACCTCTGATAATTGACAATTTGTTGAAGGCTGATCGGTATTTATGAAAACTTGGAGTTTAGATAGTAAATTCATAATAAGTCTCCAAGTTTCAGTACCATATAGTCAAACTGACTTTACAGTACAGTTAAATATTCAAAATTACTTTAGAGTAGAGATATAAAAAATAATTTAAATTTTAACACGTAACCGGTTCACCTCCACCCCAGCCTCAGCTGCTCTGACATGGCTTGGGGAAAGAAGGGGGCAGTCCTGCTGGCCTGCCCTATCTGAGTCAGACTGGCAGGGATTGGACCCAGTCAAGGCAGGAGGCCCACCTGTTTGCCCTGTGTGGCTGGAGTTGCACCAGAGAGCCTCAAGGCTCAGTCAGGGCTGGGATACCTCCAGGCCACTCCCATGCGGCTGGGGCCAAAACATGGGCATGATGCTGCTGGAGTCTCTCCGGGCCAGTCCTCCACCAGGCCTCTCCTGGGCAGATGGACTGCTCCTGCACAGCTGGGCTGCTGCTGAGCAGCTCCAATTCAGCTGGGACCAAAGTCCCGTGCAGACAAGGCTGAAGTTTCACTGGGCTGTCCTCACATGGCCGGGGCAGGGCCACTGCTGGGTTGACCCAGGCTGAGTCAGCGCGAAGGGGGTCCTGTTGATCACCCCTAAACAGGCAGGGTCCCTCAGGCTAAAATAGGCACAGTCCTGCCTGTCACCTCCATGGCAGGCTGGCCACAGCCAGGGCTGCTCCAGCCTGCCACAGTTGGCCATGAAACCAGTTACCCAATAAGCATTCTGGTAAGCCTAATGCTTGCCAGGTAATTGGTTAAATGGTTAACCTTTTGCAATCCCACTTTAGAGGGCAAGATTTCTGTTTCTACAGATGGTCTTTACAGTTATAAAAATGTCTGGCTTTCACTATTCTGGCTTTCACTATTCTGGCTTTAATATCTTTGTCTGTACCACCTGGCTGCACTGTAAGTACAACAAGATATGTGAAATGTCCAGCCTTTTCTATGGTAGTTTGTAGCATTGTAGCCCTGTTAGTCCCAGGATATTAGAGAGAGAAGGTGAGGGAGGTAGTATCTTTTATTGGACCGACTTCTGTTGATGAAAGAGAGAAGCTTTTGAGCTAAGCAATATTCTTCAGGTCTAGGAAAAGTATGCAGAATATCGCAGCAAACTATAAGGTGAAACAGATTGTTTAACATAACTATTTATAACACTTTAAGGGACTTTTCAAGGTGAAGTGGCCCTTTAGCCCACAGGCAGTTATATAACAAAAAAGGGAGGTTAGTGGGTTATAGATTGTTGTAACAAGCCATAAATCCATTGTCTTTATTAAGATTGTGCTTTCTAGTGTCTAACATAGTTATGAGCAACAGATTGTTATAAGTAAACAACACATATTCAAAGGGACCATTGTTTATCTTAAATTGACTCGTCTGATTTTCAGATTAGGTGGTCTGTGTTTGTTTTAACTTTTGTCAAAACTTTTAAATTTGCAAATAAACATAGATATTATAGATGATGCAATTATAATTGTATGTGCATTGTATTTAATATACAATGATATTAGTGAACAAGAAAATAGTAGTATTGTGTTCAGTGTTCTTTCATAAGGTTTTATTTTAGTATTTAATAGTGCTAGATAGACTGAAACAGTCTTATACGCCTATCTCTATATCATAAAAATAACATAGAACAGTAGACCATAGAGGAGACCACTGTGGTCATTTTCTCTGACCTGTATAACACAGGTCAGTGGACTTCCTTGAATTAATTTGTATTTGAACTAGAACATATCTTTTAGAAAAAATCCTTTCTTGATTTAAAATATTGAGAGGTGGAGAATTCTCCATAACTCTCAGTAAGATATTCCAATGACTAATTACACTCACTTAATTATTTTTATCTTATTTAGAATTTTAAATTGTGTAGATTCCATTTCCAGCCATTGGATCTTGTTATATTTTGGTTAGTTTGAAGAGCCCTATATCAACATTTTGTTCCCCATGTAGGTGTTTATAGATTGTGATCAAGTCACTTTTTAATCTTTTGCTAATCTTGATGTTAAACTTAACAGGGTGAGTGCACAGACTCTGTAAAACATGTTTTCCAAACCTTTAAACATTCTTCTTTCCTAATGATCCCTCTCCAATTTAATCAGAATCCATTTTGGGCTTTGGACATCACAACTGAACACAATATCCCAGTAATGATTGCATCAGAGCATCAAGTCCTTCCTAAATGTCAAGGTCATTGTAAATCAAGTTTTTGGATAATCAAATCTTCATCAAGTGCTGTCCCTATGGGTGCTCCACTTCAGGTTTCAGTTTGTCCTTGCCCCCATCAATTGGAGATTTTTGGTAACATCGTCTGGTCAAAATGCATGTGCACAGTAGCCGTCTTGCGATGCTACTGGTGCCTTATGGAGCACATGCACAACCTAATCCCTTTGGTTCCTTCTCAGCTGTCCTTGGAATCCAGGAGTCTGTTACAGGTTGAAACTCCTTAATCCAGATTTCCCTTGTCTGGCAACATCCCTGGTCCGGCATCATCCATGTGAGCACTTATGGGGATAAGCTGTTGGGCTGGGGCTAGGAGTGTTGCCAAATAAGGGGGCTGAGACAGAGCACTGAGGAGAGCAGAGTTACTGGGAGGAACGCAGAGCCCTTTGGCGGGAGGGGAGGGGAACAGAGCTCTTTGTCACCATAGGGAGGGCAGCAGCACAGCTGCGGGAGGGGAGCGCAGAGCCACTGGGAGGAGTATGGAGCCCCTCCGAGTGACAGTGGAGCCATTAGGTGGAGCATGGAGCTCCCCAGGTGGCAGCAGGGCTGCTTGATGGAGCCCGCTGGGCAGCAGCAAAGCTGCTCAGGGGAGCGCAGAGACACCGGGCAGAGTGTCTCTGCGCTCCCCTGGACTGCAATGGAGTTCATGGCCACTGCAGGGAGAGGGGAATCCCGGGCTGCAGTGAAGGGGGGGGAAGGGAGGAGTAGAGTTCCTCCCTTCCCCCACACTGTGGGGAGAATAAAGCCCTAGTGGCAGTGGAGCTGCCTGGGGAAAAGCAGAGCCCCTGCCACATTGATGTGCCCTGGTCTGGCAAATGCCCTGGTTTGGGACCACTTAGGTCCCAAGGGTCCTGGATGAGGGAGGTACAACCTGTACTGGTGTCACTAATAAACGTGAAAAACATTAGCTTGTTACAGTGTAGTGATTACCTTTGTTTGTTACTAATTTGTTACATTAATATAGAATCTAGTGTTAGTTAAACTTAACTAGATAGCCATAAAGAAATCTTTCATTTTCCCATCCCCCTTTTTTTTACTAAAAATAGGGATTCGGTCAATATGTGTGGCAACCCAGGCTTTAAACAATTTACTTCATGTAAGGACTCGATACCAGTTTTGAATGGCCACTCCTTATGTGTCCAATGTTTAGGTAAGTTACACACATTGCAGAAGCATGCTAACTACAACAATCTCAAAGCAAGAGCAAGGAGAGATTGAGGTCTTTGCTTTAAACTAATTCTAATGGAGAAATCCTTCATTCCTACATCAGAAACTGGACAACCTGCAACAAGTGATTCTCTGTCCATATTCTCCATGGACAAACCTTGTGCCAACTCCACTACAAAATTGAGGAAAAAGATCACATCTCCACCAAGCAAATACCTATTAAAAAAGGAACGGTCTCAGACGACATTGCTGCCTGTGGTGCTAACATCTTTCAAAGTGAGTGCCTTTGCACCAGGCACCTCTGGCACCATCTGCTTCAGGACATCTGGGGGAAGGAGAAAGGCATTAAGTATCAGGCAAAAAGCAGTCTCCTCGATGTCTACTCCTAGGAAGGGCATGGCACTGCAGTCTCAAACACCTGTGATGGCTCCACCTCTGGCATGGAGCTCAATAGTGCCAACTGTGAAACTGCTAAGACGGGTGTCCATTGCACTGCAGAAAGCTACACACAAAGATTTAGCACCAGCTTCACTTTCATTTAAGGCGGCAGAGCAGAGTGTTACAGCATCACATACAATGGCCCTAATCCCTCTTATGCACCCATCAAATATGGAAGAAACATCTGTTCCTGTATTTCCAATGCTCAGCACCACCTGAATGGCAGTACCAACAGCAGCTGACCAACCAGAATCTCCCAATGCTCCAATTTTGAGTGACAAGAACAACATGGAGGGAGCAGTTTTCACCTTTGGACTTGCCTCCTCAGGAGGCATGAAACCTTATTACAGACCCAGGAAACAGAGCACCAGGGAACATTTCCCATGGACAGCCTACCCGTCTCAATTCCACAGATCACCCACTTCCCATAAGAAATTCAGATTCCCTGTAACAACCACAACCTTAATATGAGTCAACAGTGTGACACTTGCAAAAAAAGCAAACATAATTCTGGGATGCATTAACAGTGTGTTGTTAGCAAGACACGAGAATTAATTCTTCCACTCTGCTCTGTACTGATTAGGCCTCAGTTGCAGTACTGTGTCCAGTTCTAGATGCCACATTTCAGGAAGGATGTGGAGAAATTGGAGAGGGCCTAGAAAACAGTAATAACAATGATTAAAGGTCTAGAAAACATGAACTATGAGAGAAGACAGAAAAATTGATTTGTTTCGTTAAGAAAAGAGAAGACGGAGAGGGGACATGCAGCTTTCAAGTACCTAAAAGGGTGCTACAAGGAGAAGGGAGAAAAATTATTCTCCTTAACCTCTGATGATAGGTCAAGAAGCAATGGGCTTACATTGCAGCAAGGGAAGTTTAGGTTGGACATTAGGAAAAACTTTGTAACTGTCAGGGTAGTTAAGTACTGGAATAAATTGCCTAGGGATGTTGTAGAATCGCCAACACTGGAGCTATTTTAGAACAGGTTAGACAAACCTCTATCAGGAGATATGTAGATGGTGCTTGGTCCTGCCGTGAAGGCAGGGGACTGGACTTGAGGTGGTACAAGAGACAACAGCACCAGCTCTTCAAGATTCTACAAAATTCTTTGTCTAAGGTAAAAATAGCTGTGACGATAAATGTGCCCATATATGGTACTCTAATGGAACCTGCAGAAACAGGGTAGCAAACACTTGCCACCATCCCCCAACCAATAACCATATGGATAGGAAATACAATGTACCAAATAAAGGCATGCATATCCTTTTTTCACACCCACAAACTGTTCCTTAGTGGTGATTGTGTTAAGCAGTGGGGCAAACATCCTCAATTCAAATCCACATCACAAGAAAAGGATTGGAAGAGACAAGACCTCTTGGTCCAATCTTCAGTTCTCCATGGTCAGTTACACAATATTACTCAGTATTTTTCTATATTGTCATGATTGTATATGAACTATTTTGTCCAGCAAAATCCTGGAGGAAATAAAATTTTGAGCTATTGGCAATGAGGAACAACTTACTGCTAGAACAGTGCTCTGGGCATCCCTTGACATGGTGAACAAAGTGGCATACATGATAACAATAGCCATCGTCACGCACAGAGCATCATGGTTACACTCACCTGGTGTCCTTAGGGAACTCCAGACCAAAATGGAGGACCTTTCCTTTAACAGGGACAAGCTCTTCTCTATTAAGATGGACGAGGTCCTCTGTTCCATGAAGGACTCGTGAAGGATCTTGGGAATCTATACAACCCCTAACAAGAGAAGCAGATACAAGCTTTACGGACATAACGAAGAAAGCACATTTCAACACCAATGGAGACCATATGACAAACAAAGACAGAGGTCCGGACCACAAAGATGTTGCCCTACCAAATCTCATGCTGCAACATCCCAAGCACCACCAAACAAGATGCAGTTTTTAAACATTAGTTGAAGGTTTGATCCAAATCCCTCAACTACCAATGCCAATGGAACAAACAATCTCTGGTCATTGGCTTCAACTAGATGTAGGCCTCTGTCACCGTCGACTACTGGGTGTTAGAGATCACTCAAATGGTTATACAATCCTCTTTACCTCAGTACTACCTACCCACCCCCTTTCTCCATCCCTGTTCAGTAACCTTTCTTCCAAGTACCTATTTAGATAAGAAGTAGCTCACCTTCTACAATAAGGGGCTGTGGGACAAGTTCTATGCAACAAAGAGGGAAGCAATTTTATTTCCATTATTTTCTGACTCAAGAGAAATAGAGATTGGAGAACTATACTAGATCCATTTCAAGCAGAAGTGCCACATGGAACCTGGACTCAGAGTCCCCCGCTGGCCCCAGGCTCCATACGGTGTTTCAGTCTTTGAAATGCATAAGAGCCCTTGCTGGGGCTCTTGTACATTTCAAAGGTGGAATGCCGTGCAGCACTTCCACCTCTGAAGTGTATCAACAGTCGGATGGCTCTTGCTACATTTCAAAGCAGAAGTGCCCTTATCAACTAATTGAACAGTCAATGGAAATCCCATCGACTATTCAATTAGTTGATTAATTTTAACAACCCTATATAGAATATTGCCATTAAGACTGTTGATGGCTCCATTAGTCTTCGACAAAGCCCTAGAGTTAGTAGCTGTTTATTTCTACAGACAGAGAATATTGTTATTCCCATTCTTAGATGGTTGCCTGATAAAAGGCCCGACCCGAACAGAAACATTATGAATTATTCAACAACCTATCTCTTATTTTCACTCCTTACCGGGTTACAAATCAATAAAATCTACCATAACTCCAATATGATTGGACTTTGTAGGAGTACACCCAGATTCAGTGGAGGCCAAAACAACATTGCCAATGCCCTGATTCACAACAATGACCCTCCTTCTTCTTTGAGTAACATCTCTGTGGGTGCTCCCCTTTCGGTGTTGGTATATGCCCTGTGCCGCAACTTGGAGATTTTCAGTAGCAGCGTTTCCCAAGAACACAAATATTTCATGTGGGGATCCCTACACAGAACCTGTTTTACAACATCAGCAAACAAGAAATGCCCAACATTTTGCTCACAAGCAAGACTAGGGGCATGATCCTTCGGGGACACCTTTCCCATCAAATGGAATGCTTCCCTCCTGTACACATTTCCATTCATTCCTCTAATCACCAGAGTTTTAGACAAAATATGAATCGACAGAGTCAAAATAGTACCAACATTGTTGAGACATAGTTACTTTACCGGACACACATTGGGATCTGTGCACCATTCACTCTCCATCTTCTATGGAATCTTCTCTCTCAGAACGATGGTCAAATCCTCCATCTGGACCTGAGAAACTTCAGTTGAAGGAATGGCTCCTTCACGGCTCCACTGTGACAAGCTCACAGTAAATAAAACAAGTGTTAATAAACAACAGGAAACACAACATGTGTACTACTTATTTCCAAAAATGAAAAAGATTCTTCCTGTGATGGCAAAACAAAAAATTATCTGCAAGCCAAGCACCACTTCCATTAATTCTGGAATATTTGTCCCTAACGAGCTCAGGACTTGCCGTAATCTTGCTTAGAGTTCATATTGCTGCCATCAGAACCTTCCGTCAGTGGGTAGAGAGGACATTGATATTCACTCACCTGATTACTAAGCAGTTTCTTGTGGGCATACAGCATTCTTACTCGGATATCTAAGAACCCATGCTAGCATGGGACTTAAATCTGGTGATCAGAAATCTAACCAGAGTCCCATTCAATCCCTTAGCCACATGTATGTAGTTCATATTGCTGCCATCAGAACCTTCCGTCAGTGGGTAGAGAGGACATTGATATTCACTCACCTGATTACTAAGCAGTTTCTTGTGGGCATACAGCATTCTTACTCGGATATCTAAGAACCCATGCTAGCATGGGACTTAAATCTGGTGATCAGAAATCTAACCAGAGTCCCATTCAATCCCTTAGCCACATGTATGTTACTGTTTTGGCATTACATCAGCATGAAGAGTCAGCGAAATAAGGGCTCTCATGTCTCACCCTTCCCCCCGCCATACACAATATTCTTCAAGGATAGTGACACTTAGATCACATCCTAAGTTTGTACTGTAAATATTGACCTCGTTCCACCTCAACCACTGATTCACTTACCTACATTTCATCCAAAATCATACACTGATGCTCAAGAGGTAGTCCTGACTACACTGCGGGTATGTCTACACAGCAGTGTTATTTTCAAATAACAAAATGCATGTCCACACAGCAAGCTATTATTTCAAAATAATGTCGAAATGGAGGACTTCTTACTCCAACTCCTGTAACCCTCATTTTACAAGGAGT